AGCCATTATGAAAATATGTATAGAGTTCCTTCCAAAACATGAAATACAGGAAAAAATGAAATATGCCAGATTCAGAAAAACAGATGCCTCATTTTCCTTTAAATGTTCAAACTGGAATTGAAATTAGATGTGTGTGTGTGTGTGTGTGTGTGTGTGTGTGTGTGTGTGTGTGTGTGTGCTCTTGAGATTTAAAATTACTCTTAACATTGTCACATATTCCAAGAGAGAATAAAGTCAAAACAATAAGTTTTATGTATCATCAAGACATAAATACTTTTAATATTTTCCTTTTGGTTAATTTTATAGAGATGTGTTTATTTATAAAATTGATGATTTTATAAATGTTTCATACATTTATTTTAAAAAGATGAAGCTGAAAATGTGGTTTTATATCTTGGAAAAATAGTATCAAACAAGCACTATTAATTATGCATTGCTCTAATGTGTGCCTGTGTGAGTTTGTGTGCACCGCATGAGTGCAAGAACCTGAGGAGTCTGAAAAGGGGCTCTAGAGCCTCTGATACATGAGGTACAGGATGTTATGAGCCACCACACAAGTGCAAAGAATATAACTTGAATCCTCTGCAAGAGAAGTGTGTGCTTTTAATCACTGAGAAATTTCTAAAACCCATAGTTAAGTATCTTTAAAAACAAATCATTGGTCTTTTCAGGATAATATCTCACCCAATGAAATTCAACCACACATTGTATATTCAGAATATTCCTACAGTGATTATCTCTATCCTGGTACCATTAAGTGGATTTCTGGTTATTTTTTTTTTTTTCAGTTTTAGGACAAGAAACGACTTGTGTAAATTCAGGTAGCTTTTAAAAGGACTGTGCAGAGTTACTTAACAAAGGGAAAAAGAAGAAATTTATATCAAAAGATTTACAATTGATCAATTTCAGCTAAAATTTAGTTTACTAACACTGCCTTCCTGAACACATAGTCCCACAACCCCATCTACTAGTAAATATCTTACTGGTTGTATGTTTACAAACATACGTTTTAAGATGAAAGGAGGAAGCAGATTTCTCATAGAAGTGGATAATAGATATCCTGGTGGCATTTAACTGAGGCGTTTCCAGCTATTATTTAATTTGCATTTTAAAAGCATTTATTACAAGTTAATGAATCAACTGATACTCCAGGGAGCATTTAATAAGATTTATTGCCATATAAAATTTGTATGGCTTCAGCTAAATAACTGAGATTATAATTATCAGCAGTAGCATAATTACATTTGTGGCAATTCTAGAGATGATCTGAGATAGGGAACATCTAAGACATTCTATGAAATAGGTGACTTGAAAACATAATTTTTAAACATTTGAATAACTTTGAAGCACCAGTTTTTTTTTTTTTTGCTGTAGTTTTTTTTTTTTTTTTAATTTGGAAGTTATGTAAAGCTGTGGTAACAAAAAATGGAAGACCTTCATATTAGCACTAGGGCAGAGGACCTGAAAGGGCAGTTAATTAGGAAACATTGAAATACGCACTTTATAATGTCATGTTGCCGAAGGAATCTACAGTTCTGTGGCTGAAGGCAGAAAGTTTATACACTCCAGAAACTATTCAATGAGTGTTTCACATACCTTTCTTTTACTGGCTCACATCACTGGCATAATAAATCCAGTCAATTCATTGGAGGCAAGTTCACATTGCACCACACTCTCCTCCTTTCTTTCCTGTATCTACTTCACATTTTCTTCTCTAAGCCTTTGAGATGTGTCTTTTTATTAGCATACATTAGTTGCACACAATTGTTTAAATGAGACATATAATGTATTTGATCATATTCACTATTATCATTTTGTCCCCTTTCCCATGCCTCCTGATCTCCCTACTCTTTCAACTATTCCCCCTTCACATTTATGTCTTGTTGAAAATGTGAGTGTGAGTGTCTATGAGTATGTGTGTGTGTGTGTGTGTGTGTGTGTGTGTGTGTGTGTGCAAGTGTTTGTGAGTACGTGTGTGTGTGAGAGAAAGAGAGTGTGTGAGGGAGTGTATATATGAGAGAGAGTAGTTGGGGGAGACCCAGTGTGTTTTACCAGGATTGCTCATACGCGCATGAGTAAGAAGTTGTTTGGAGGACCATGGGAACCTCATCAAAGGTTATACCAATGAAGAAAACATCTCTTTCTTGCCCAGCAACCATAAACTCTGTATATACTAAGGTAGATAGAGGACTCCACGAGCCCCTCTCAATTCATGGATGTCAGTTCTTTTTAATTTTTGTTTAATGTTCCAAAGACTTTTATTTACAAAATCAAGCAGTGGGATAGAATTAGCACACAAGCAATAGTCTGTGCTCAAAGTAATATAAATAATCACAATAATACAAAATATAGTAAGTATAAGTACAATACATAGGTCATGGACAAATCAAATAGATTAACAAATTACACAAATTCTATACCTTGTATAGTGATTTTTTTAAGTGTAAAATACATAACCAAAATGTAAGTATTATTTTCTAATATTAACATCCAACCTGTAGCAGACAATACTGAAATCAAACTTTAAGTCAAAGAAATCCTGCAGTGAGAAAAAAAAATACATTTGAATACCTTTTCTTTTTTCCCTTTCTTTTTATTTATTTATTTATTTTTTTTTGGTTTTTCAAGACAAGGTTTCTCTATGTAGTTTTGGTGTCTGCCCTGGATCTCACTCTGTAAACCAGGCTGGCCACAAACTCACAGAGATCCTCCTGGCTCTGCCTCCCGAGTGCTGAGATTAAAGGTGTGCACCACCACTGCAGCCTGGCTATATCTGAATAACTTTTAAAAATACATATACATCATTTGAATTTTTTCAATTAAAATGTAATTATATCATTTATCCCCTTCTCTTTCCTCCTTGCAACCTCTTCCATGTATGCCCACCTGGCTCCCTTCCAAAATCATGGCTCCTTTTCCTTTAGTTGTTATTTGTTACACACACACACACACACACACACACACACACACACACACACACATATACACACACAGAGAATATAGGGGAGATATTTTCTCTAAGTTCTAGAACCTACCAAGTTTTCTGTTTCCTTAAAGTAAAGTAAGGTCTCTGCCTCTCCTGTATGTCACTCATAAACATGTATGGAATAACTGTATCTGTGTATTCTACTCATAAATTGACATAAGAGAAATGGCATTGTGATATAAGTAAATGGGAGCATGGCTCACTCTAGATTTTGAAGTTTAAACATTGTCTCATGCCATTTTCAAACTACTATTTCTCACAGAGTGTCATGGTCAGTTTCTACGAAGCATCACGATGGCAGCTGAGGTATCTTTGTTTATTATAGCAGTTCTCAAACTGTGGGTTGTGACCTCTTTAGGGTCAAACAATCCTTTCACAGGATTGGTCACCTACAACTATCGTAAAAGGGGGATATTTACATTATACTTCATAACAGTAGCAAAACTATACTTATGAAGTAGCAACAAAAATAATTTTGTGCTTGGGGGTCACTACAACATGAGAATGGTATTAAAAGGCCACAGCATAAGAAAGATTGAGAACCACTGGTCTATAACCTTTAAATTCAGGTACAAAGAAAAAGGAGGGACTCAAGAAAACCTATGAACATGTGAATGGCTCTGAGTTGTGTACTTATCACCTGAACAGAGCAAACAGCATTTTAATTGTTTAAATCATTTCTCAACCCTGAACCATAGGTTAGGTGTCATAGGGATTACTGATGGAGGGCAAATTAATGACTCTCAGAGTATTGGTACCTGAAAAAGGTTTTCAATGAACAACAATGGCTTCTACTAACTATTCTATAGAAAATAGTTGTAAGATAGCGGAACAGAACTGCTTATTGTCAAAGATGCTACAATGTAAGAATTCAATCAACATCATCCAAAGAAAGGAATCTGAACATACACAGGCAAGGAGTTATGTTTTCTGTGTCTTGACTAAATGTGCACAGAAATTGTTACAGTTAATAAAAGTGAACATACACAGAAAGACACCAGGAGTGTATGTAACTGGCAAAAAATCAAAATGAGGTCAAAAGATAGTGGCAATGATGATTTGCTGTGGATATCACTCTGTATGCTGTGAATGTGTTGCTCTGATTGGTTAATAAAGTGCTGATTGGCCAGTAGCCAGGCAGGAAGTATAGGCTGGATACACAGAGAAGAGAATGCTAGGAAGAGGAAGGCTGAGTCAGGAGTTGCCAGCCAAACACAGAGGAAGAAAGATGTGAAGGCAGAACTGAGAAAAGTGTGGCTAAACATAAATAAGAATTATGGGTTAGTTTAAATGTAAGAGCTAGTCAGTGGTAGGCCTGAGCTAATGGCTGAGCAATTTTAATTAATATAAGCTTCTGAGTGATTATTTTATAAGTGGGCTGTGGGACTGTGGGGGCTTGGCAGGGCCTGGAGAGAAACTTCTTAGCTACAATGATATTCTAATTTGACAGGGTGTTATAGTTATGCAAGGTGTTTTATTGGGTAAGGGTTAATAATCTTTCTGTGTCATTTCTTGAAACCAAGCATAAGTCTACAATAATCCAAAACTAATATAGATCTTAGTACAGGTGGTATGAAGGGGAAAGGGAACCTAATGTGGGGTAAGATTTAAGTAGGGAAGTGGATGAAAGAGAAGGGGTAGAAACATTTTATGGGCAGTGGTGGTGCATGCCTTTAATCCCATCACTCGGGAGGCAGAGCCAGGCAGGTTTCTAAGTTCGAGGCCAGCTTGGTCTACAGAGCGAAATCCAGGACAGGCACCAAAATTACACAGAGAAACCCTGTCTTGAAAAACCAAACAACAACAAAAAAGAAACATATTTTGCATGCTTTCTAAAAATATAAAGGTTTTTTTTTTTAAATTAGTAAGTATAATATTTGTTACAGGGTTGATTTTGACAGTTACCATAATACTATGATAATTTGAACTCTAAAGTAATTAACATCTTTCCTTAAAAACACAAATCTGGGGATGAGGAGATAGCCCAGTATTTATGACCATGTGCTGACGTAAGTTCAGTTTCCAAAACCCACATCTAGAAGCTCACACTGGACTGTAAGACTTCATTTTTTAAAAAACCACTCTAACATTTACCAGGGACAGCTATCAGCATTCCTCCTTCATGTTTCTGTGCAAGCTGACCATGACATCCTGAAAGGTAAGAAATTATTTACTCATTCTTTGATTTAGTCACTTCTATTTTGTATTTTGTTTCCCCCTCCCTTCGCTCTGTGTCTGTCTTTTCTCATATTGGACTTTCAATATAATCTTAAACTCCCACATATACATTAGCATATATTCTTCATAATCGTAATGATTTTGACATCATATTTTTATTGATTTTACTTATTTCAGGATTGATGTGAGCTGGCTAATGTTTTTTTCTGAATTCGATTGTCTTTGGGAGTGTTTTTATCTGTTCAAAGAGACTGAAAGACAGCAGACATCTACTCAACAGAGGTTTTATTTCACAGAAGCCTGGGGATCAGAGATTAGCTATTGAATGATTATCACAGCAGGAGTTTCAATCCCCTTTTTATTTAGGTCTAGTGTGTTTCTGTCATAGAGAGCTTAGGTAAAAAGGGAGTTCACCATCTCCTCCTGAGAAGTCTGCAAATTTTTATAAGCAAGAAAAAAAAAAAAAAGAAAAGAAAGAAAAAAATGCCAAGTGAGTTTTTTAATAGAGGATTACTCTCCCAGAAGTCGACTATAACTCTTATATATATAGGATCGCTGACCATGGCGGAGTGAGCAGATAATAGCCTGTTTAGAAGCAGTCAGCTTTGTTCGCTGAAGGGCATTCTGTCCTCCCACTACTCAACCTTCTTCTTTCTTTTTTTTTTTTTTTTTTTATCACGCCCACCAAATAAGAGAGATGCCAAGTCTGCAAATAGAAAGCAAGACTATTAACATATGAAGCAGCTCCAAGATCAAAATACTGCATGCAGCATGTGTGTTTTAATGAAAAAATCTCGGTGCAAAGGGAGCTGGTGTCTGCATTGTATGAGCTTCCAAGATAAAAGTGCAATTGCGGTGAGAAAAGAAACTTTCAACACTCCAAGTAAAAATGGCTTCTTACAGTTAGAGCCAATTACTTTCCCATGAGAAAGTGTGTGTCATCGCCAAACCTCTTTCCCAAGACACAGGAAGTGTTCTTTCTTCTGCCTGAGTTCCCCTTTGCCTGCGGGGGGTCTATCTGCAATGATCCGGTTCCTGCTATAAGCTGTCTTGAAAGGTGGTCATTTTATTTATTTGGGAACTCATTCCTGTTGGGGACTGGTGTTTCTAATGGCCTTATCTGTTACCCCTAGGTTTTGCATTTCTTCAGCTGATGGCTTTGAGGCTAATGTCATTGATCATCGTGGTACCCAGCTCATCATTCCAGAGAAAATGAGGTTACAACTCCATTTCCTTTGTCTAGCATATGCTTTGATGAACTCACATATTTCTTCCCCTTCCTTTAGTGTTTCCCTGCCTGTTCACCTTGCTGACACTTTTCTTACAGAGGAAGGGAAAGACAATCTCAAGCATGAAGGAATAGTGGATTGCAACAGAAAGGGAGAATTCTGAGGCCTGAGTTTCATCATTCATCCCAGCAAAGAATGGTATTGTTTTTTCTACTGCCCTGTATCAAAGGGCTACCAGCTTGGTTGTTTAAATCAACATGTATTGATCATTACAGAGCTTTTGTTGGTAAGGGGTTCAGGCATGGCTTAGCTGGACACTGTACTCTGGCCATCATAGACCAGTCAAAGTGTTGGCTGTTTGTGCAGTGGTCACCCTTGCTAATTTAGGAAACTAACCGGAACTGGTTCCTTATGTTTGTAGAAAAGAAGTTTTCCATTCAGAATCTAATTCAACAGCAACTGTAAATGTAATCATGGAAACATTAAGAACATTATACAGCAGCATGGGTTGTCTGTCCTACTCCTGGAATTCCTCCTGTCATTATGGAAACATCTGTCTTATTCATTAGTGCCTTGAGTTCTTAAGACCATGAGTGATATACAGTATGCAAGCCAAATATCTAAACAAAAAAAAAATCACTTCCATCTTTGAGATCATAAGAAGCAAAATTTCAATGTTGTCGTTATTTATTATTCTATACATGTATAATTCTATTTTCACAAAAAGTCCTATAGTGACAGTTAACAAACAACCAGTATAATCATTTCATAAGCACAGGACATAATGCTAGGTCATGAATGGAATGATTACTTATTACATGTTTTCTTAATTCCAATTATATAAGACAGAAGAACTAATGGATATTTTTGCCTCTTCAAATCCACACCTGTGTCCAGGCACTGCTTTGGCATGAGAGAAGCAGGAGTGACTTCACATGCTGAGCCCTCCAGTTTCTACATGCTTATGTGTTGGCAGCTGACAGCTACCTTGTATTTTTGAGAGCTGTCTCAGTATTTCCTGTGCTTTTTTTTTTCTTCCAAGGCTGATGGCTCAGCATGTGCAAACCAGTTTGTATGTTCATAAATTGCAGGAGTCAAGTTTTGAGCTCAGCCTTCGATTTTTCATAGTGCGGTGAGTTGTGGACTTGACTTTGTAAGGATTCCTGAGAGAAAGCACAAAAGAAGACAGAGCATTCTGTCAGTGAAAGGTCATAGGAAAGGAATGCATGGATATGTATCCTTTCATATATACATTTTATACTCTATATGAATATATTTTACATTTCCATATAAAGAGACATACTTTGAGGATATATTTTACACATATTAAATATTATGTATTTTTATAATATTATATACATATATTTGTAGTGGGTAGCCATTCCAACTTTGACCTGGAAGTTCCAACTCCCATTGAGGCTTCGGTAATGGTCACGCCTACAAGGTGGGGCTGATGGGGGGATGCTGAAGACCCGAGATCCGGATGCCCAAGTAGTCTTGGTTCCTGGACCCTGGACGTTGAATGTAGACTGAGCAGAGTTCTCCAGAGAACACCGCCCGACTGCACCTTTCCCAGACCATGTAGCCTATCCCTTTCCTTGTAAGTTACCCCGCAAAATAAACCTCCCTTTTAACTACGTGGAGTGGCCTTAATAATTTCACCAATATATATTCAAAGAGATAATGAGTATCTGTGTATGTGTATTATACAATTTAATAGAAGTTTGTTAATCTCCCTTAAACTTAGGGGTAAAATTTAGGATACAGAAATTTTGGACTGGGATGCAATGTAAATGCAGATAACATGAGTAATTCCAGGCTGATAGACTGAACAAAGAGTTTTGCATTTTCAAAAAAACTTCCTCAACTTTTTCAAATCGGAAGTCACACCTTACTGGAGGTGATTCTGTGTCTAGAATTAGAAGCCCTTCTGGCAAATCTCTTAACCTTAAACCTGAAAATTCCCATATGTCTAGTAGGAAGCAATATCCGCACCACTTCCTTGAGAAGAGAGCTGTGAGGGTTGAGGCAAAGCACTTGTGCAGGTAAAAAGCTTAGGGCTTCTGTTCTCTAAACTGGAGATCCCGCCCCCCTCCTAGAATAAGATGAGTATTCAGCTAAGTCACATCATTACTTGTTGTTGTTAAAAGTGCTTTGTAAGCTGACATCTTCTTTACAAGGGTGTGGACATACTGGCAAAATAATAAAGCAAAGGGGTCATTTAAAAAAGAGAGGGGAAAATGGATAGAGATCACAGTTCAATATTGACATGTGAGTATAGACCAAAGTGCTGAGTAGACCAAAGCTCCTAAATCAACATTATACTCACCCTTTCCCTCATCCATCTCCAAGCCACTCTCAACAACAGGGGAAATGTCCAAAATAGTTGAGTGAAGCACACTTAGGTAATGGGGAATGCACAGTTAGGTAACTACTTAAATACTGAAGGTTTCTGAGGCTTCTTCAGTTCTTGAAGATCATTCTTCTTGAGAACCAGGAATGGACAAACCCTTGGGTACTCTAGACAAATGCTCCACAGAGAGTTTCCCTGACCTAGAGCCACCAGACTTTTTTCTTTTCTTCCTTCCCATATTGTTCTTTCCTAACTCTGTCTCCTTCTCTGCTCTACCATCTTTCTGGTCATTTTCCATCTGTTACCCTAATGCATCATCCTCTGGAGAGAACCTAGCAGCTATGTGACACTGAACCAGTCATCTTACCTTTCTCCATTTAGGTATCTCCAATAAATTTAGTTAGATAATATTATCTTATGCCATGTAAAATATATATGAAAATTCAATAATTATAGAAGTTTAAACAGAACTTTGTATTTATTGTCAACTGTTTGTTAATCAGCAATATTTAAAATGGGCCTTTTATGCATATGAGCAGGTAAATGTCTCCAAAAATATCTGTGTCAGCGATGAAGAGAATAATCCATGCCTAGCCATCATTGGCATATGTGGTGGGTAGTCTTTGTCATCAACTTTAGGAGACACACTTCTGGTATGTCTGTGTTTCCTAATGGAAATGAGGACACTCTGAATGGAGTTGACACTGCTCAAGGGGCTGGAATCAAAGACTGAATAAAGAGAGGAAAAGTAGAAAACACGGTCATTAGGTGTTACCTTTCCTTCTTGACTGTAGAAGCAATGTGGCCTACCAACTCAGTGCCTTGCCTTTCCCACCGTGATCAGTCTAAACCCTAACCATCAAACACACACACACACACACACACACACACACACACACACACACACACACACACAACCTTCCTTCCTGCTTTTTCCTTTGTCATATATTTTATCAGAACAAAAGAAACATGCCTAAGATTCCATATCAAGTCTATACCTAAGGGCTAAGAGCACTTGTCAAGTGCTATATAGCAGCCTTTCCCAATTCCTCACTTGTAAACTGGTCTCCTGGGTTATATGCTCCCACCACGATGTGCTGCTGCAGTAGCCAATGACCATGAGCTAATCTAATCAAGCCATATGTCCTTATAAGAAGATATTCTTAGTTTTGTTGTTAGAGTGGTAGGAAGCTGGCTAACTTATTAAGACTTGCTATTTGAAAGCATTTTGTATACCAGAGGCCACAATAGGACTGTCTTGAATAAAAGAATAGGAAGGAAAAATCATGTTGTTTCCCTCAGTATGTTCGCTTTCCTTTTAAGCCCACCATGAAGGCATTAGGATGATGTACCTCCAGATCTGGGAGTGACGAATTTCCTAACAGGGACTTGGGAATGACAATATCAAATTTTATGAAGCCTCGATGAAAGATTTTCCTCTCGGAATTAGGCTGGGGATAAGTTCTCTTGGGTCTTCATGGTATATTTTCACTGAGCTGTAAATCTCTTTCTTAATCTAGTCATCTGATCCAAGAACATCCAGGGTTAAAGTCAAAAGAGAATGGGGGGGGGTCAACAAATCTTGGAAAATGTTCTATCTTCTCTGTCTTTCTGTATGTTCTTAGATCCTTTCCCTTTTATTCTTCTTTATGTTGCAGCTAATGGATTCTGAATTCTCCATAGGAATTAGAGCTCAATGAAAACCAACCAATGAGGGTTGAGGTAAGAAAAGGCGCAATGCTGTAATTTCTTTTCTGCTCACAGTCTAATTTATTTTACTCTATTTTCCCTAAGTAAATTTAGGCCGTGGGTGCATTTTTCAGTGCTTATTTTCAAAATACATCCATTTTCATAAATACAAACAGAAGTACAGCCATAATTACCCCCTTTCATTTGTGTCTTGAAATAACTTTGCTTAATTCAAAGTAAGAAATAAAGGATAATGTTGAAAAATAACTAATGAAAGGGTTCAGATTATGAAAGGGATATTATCCCAGTTCAAAGACATTTCATTTTTCAGAAATTGCATAGCATTTAAAATTTCAAGAAAGTGCTATATTAAGTAAGTATCTATTTGCTGAATATGAAAGCAGTGTGTTTAGCTGAAAAGTCAATGCAGGATATGGGTCACTGTAATGGTGACAGTTTGATGCTATCAGTAGGCAGTCTGTGCTTTGGTTTGACCTGAAAAATCAACTGATGTAGGCAATGGGTAGTATCATTTAGGAAGGAAGCCTATCTTATATATAAAAAAGAGAGTTTTCTAAGTTGTGTGAAAAGCAAAAATGTGACATAAATCACAATGGTATAATTACGTATACAGATCTAAATATGTTTGAGTTTGGATTTATTTGGAAATACTCTGGGTTAAATCTATGGCATCCAAGTCATGTACCATTCAGCAAGTTTGAAGAAACTAAATAAAATAAATTCCAATGAAAGAGCAACATGCATTTTTTTTGTTTGTTGAGATTCTAATTTAATTACATTTCTCCCTTCTCTTTCCTCTCTCCAAGCCCACTTATGCCTCTCTGATCTCTCCCACTTATGCCTCCCTGATCTCCTTCAAATTCACGATCTCTTTAAAACTCTTATTGTATACATGTATATATTTGTACATACATATATACTCTCAAATATAACCTGTTGAGTCCATATAATATTACTTGTATGAATATTTTCAGGGCTAACACACCAATTGGTTTTCCAAAGCCAAATGGCCATCCTTGAAAAATACACATTCTTTTGAGTTTTATTTTGAATTAGACTTTATGATTAAGTAGATGCCTGGAATTGGTTAGGCATAGGGCTTGGAGTAGGTGAATAAAGGGGCTGTAATAAAATTGTGCCTCCAGAGGATGTCAGGCATGGTACTTGCTCCTTATATCTTTTAGTGATATCATAGAAAACAATGGAAGAAACTAATAGCTCATGGACCCACCTCATGTTACATCTCCACATGTCATCATTTTTCTGTGAGAGAAAGCAAGTGAGAAATGGTTTAGTATGGTGCTGTTCAGCATTGGTTTTTATTGTGTGGATGTGTTAGCACTTTTAATTTCTTCTGAGTTGTGACATTTAACTGAGCCATGACCCCAAGTAGTCTTGTTCTAGGGAAGAACACTTTGAGGAAGCCTTGACCTTGACTTCAACCTGAAATCCATAAATGAAATCTGCAAGTTTGTATACCTGGAGTGCACCACATCAAGATTCATAGTTCTTCAGTATACCATGTGTACCAAAGTTTACAAAAATCACTAGATTACTGCAATGTGCACATATGGTTGGGAATCATTGACACAGAAATCAAAGTAGAAACTAAAGATGACAAAGAAGGATTAGTTTGTAGTTGTGCTTGAACAGCATAGTACAAGGTTGCACCGCAATCATTCCCAGCTCTGTATCTGTGAGGGATTTGTTCCATGACTCACCGTCTACAGGGAAACTGAAGTCTGTGGAACTTAAGTACCTTATATAAGAAATTCTGTCATTTTTGCTCATAGCCTTTGAACATCTTTCTCTAAACCTAAGTAATTTCTAGACGACTTTATAGCTTATGCAATAGAAATGCCATGTGAACAACAATCCTATTATTATAAATTTTAGGTGATAATGAATTGTTAAAAATATGTTCATGTTCAATACAAATACAATACTTTTCCAATATTTTTTCTGTTGAAATATTTGGTTAAATCTGAGGAAGTGACATGCACAGATCTCTAGGATAGCTACTTACTTAAAGTGAACTATAATAGATTAACTGTTTCTGTGGGATGCAACTATAGGGAATGCTACTGGGCCTAATGCCCCAACAGGCCACCAATTCCGATAAAATTAAAGAATTCAGCATGCAGGAATAAGACTTAGAGACACCACAGGGTCTGGCTCAAAACTAGACCTGCTGTCTGTACAGTTTCCTGTATTGTTTGCAGCTATTTTTATCTACAACTACCAGAGCAGGATATTTTTTCTCTAAGCAGATGTGTTTGGGGCCTTTCCAGGAGAGTTGATGACAAACCAGTGGAAATCCAGGTGGTGTCACTAGATGCCATCTTTACCCCAGACCCTGCCTGGCAGGAAGAAAACTATCCTATACTTTTAACAATCCAAATGATGTATTCAGCAGGCTTTACCCATAAGGGCATATCACAATTAAGGAACAAACAGAGGTTAATGTGGATAGGAAAGAAGAGCAGTAAGCATATCCATTAATCAAGATCCTGTTTACACATCTGCTAAGGAGGGAGATTTTCTCATTAACTTAAAGTGAAACCCAGTGTTTGATAACAGCTGTCTTTTTGTGACAATGTTGATTGCACCTGCCTCTGCATCCCATCTAAGAATTATAGAATGTACACTTTAGAAATTAATCTTCACTTTGTAATTAAAATATTAATATTCTCATTGTAAATATTATGCAGAGTAAACTAAAGTACACCACAAATGACTCACAGCATCTCTATTACGATGTTGATTGATTTTCATTTATTCCTCTGAATATGTGTGTATCTCTGTGTCAATGTGGATATGTATTTGTGAAAGTCATAAAAAAATCTTAGTTTTTTCATATTGATAATTTTCAATCCTCTTTTTATTGTTTCCATTGTATCATACTATTTCCATATATTATTATATATTGTTTATATTAATGACTTTAAATGGCTCTATAGTATATTAGTTTCTGGCTATACCTTGCTTCATGTAACCAAATTCTTTCAATCAAATACTGAGTCATTAAATTGCCTCTGTTCATAAAATCCCAATGAACAAACCTGGACCATCCTTGAGCTCTTTCTGTACAAAACCATAGACAAGGAACAATTTAAAGATTTCAGAGACTTTAAAGCTTTTTATTCATGCTGTCAAATTCCACTCCAGGAAAATTGTACCTATTTATGTTCAAGGTGTTTATGAGAATTCTATTCTGCTCTACCTACTAAACTGGGAATATATTAAATATTTGTCATTTTGTTCAAAATCTAGTGCCAAGAACAATTACATACCTTCACAGATCTCAATTTTACCATTTATAAAATGATGATAAAAAAGACAGTCTTGGCTACAAAATTGTTGTATCAAATTTGTTAATATGCACCAAGTATTTAGACTTAGCCTTCCAAGGGAGTAAATGTTCAATATATTAGTTTAAGTTCTTATTGGCAAAATGTGTTATCAGGCTATAATTCATATCTTTTTCTTTGCCAATAATCATTGGTATTAATTATCATTTTACAGGAAGTGTGTATGTGTCAGAGGGTAGTCTCTGGGGTCAGTCCTCTTTTTCAACTCTGTTTGACACAGGGTCTTCGCTTGGCTTTGGAACATTCTTTTTTCTTAAATCTTCCTAAAATTATTTGTTATCTACTGGCATCTTCCATTTTATCCTGTTATAAAATCTCATTGAATATAAAAAGTATTGCTTTCCCATTGGGATTTGTCTTTATTTCTTCAACTTAAATTCTGTCAACAGAAATGTTAAATATTTAATGTGATCATAGAATGTTCAACATTTCAACTTTAACTTTAAACACACAAGAATAATTGATGGTCATGCAGTAGAAATTCATGAGCAATCCTGCCCAGTCTTCAGTGGCACTTACCATTCCAATGTACATATCCAGGACTAGGATGTTTCTCTCAAAACTGTGAAATCCATGCTTTGTAACACTACCTTTGTGAATAACTATCTAAATACTCTCAGAGTTCCTCTTTTTTATTTCAACTAAAATTAAGACCTAAGTAAGTCTAAGAAAGTTACTCAGGTCCTGGATAGTTAGGCTGTGATTAAACCACGTTATTAATGTTTGGTTTTATAGCATTACAATATGTAAGTATGGCCTTTGTAATTTATGCCATGGGGAACTTGGGGTTTCCTATGTATCTTGGAATGTAGTCAGGGTTGCTAAATCTTTCTTGGCTATAAATATATCATGTACTGTGTTTTCCAAGATGGTCATTTGATTATATATTTATTCATTAAAACATAAACATTTGATTGAAATTCTGTGCCATTGTTTTTTTTAATAACAATGGGATAGAGAAGGAAGAAACAGGCAACAAGAAGTGCATGGTAAAACTACATCTCTCTCACTTTCCCAGCCCAAGCAGTCATCAAATATTCAAATTTAAAGGTTTTGGGCCGGAGGAAGAGTGAGGTGATGTGTATTTCAGCATGTGTCCTTCTCCTACCCTTTTGCAACAGAGAAATACCATGTAGTCCTGGAACCCCTTGATTTGGATTTTCATGACCTGTCAAATAGCGTAAGTGCTGAGCTTAAGACCTCACCACTGTCATTTTGTAGATGTAGCTTCTGAATATCATACCCCGCTCATCCATTGAAAGGTTACCCACTCCAACCCTCTATTATCCCATGTGCTCAGACCGGGCTTTACCTCCAGTGTTTATATTCCAACAAGACCCAAGCTTTTGCTTCCATATATAGCCCTCATTTTCCTCTTGGTTTTTCCTTATTTTAACTCTGAACAGCCTCTTCTAGACCCAGCAGTGCTTATCTGGGTAATTTAAAGTTATCTTTCATTATTACAATCAAGATTCATTTCTCAGGAAAGCCTTTCCTGATCCTCTAAGCAAACAAACAAAGTTTGTTTTTCTATCAAACTTCTGTGCTGTGTTATGGTTGTAGATTTGGCTGTCTTTCTAGTTGCATGTGCCATCAGCAATTTGATAGTATTATCATACAGTCCCTAGCACACAGTAAATAACTGGTTAATATAGGCTAAATGATGTGTGTGTGTGTGTGTGTGTGTGTGTGTGTGTGTGTGTGTGTGTATAAGTGTATTCACAGAGGTGTGAATGCAGATGCATACTGCAATTTCGTGCTGTGGAGGTCAGAGGACAGCCTCAGGTGTTGCTTCCCGCTTTCCCCCCTGTTGGAGGCACTGCCTTTCTTGTTAACTGCTGGCTGTGCCAGGGTACCTAACCTTTGAGCTTCCTGCGGTTCTCTATGCGCTGCCTCCAAATCTCCGTGGGATGTTTGGTGCTTATGCTACCAATCTGGGGATGCAAACTCAAGTCATCAAGCTTGCTGGGCAAATACATTACCCACTGAGATACCTTCCTAGCCCTTAAATGATGACGTTGTCTTTGAAAAATTTAATTAAGAAAGATAAAAGATGACAGAACATTAAAATAAATGAGATAGAGTTGTAGTAATAGACAATGGCTGAGTACTTGTAAGTAACTAGAGGATATTATTTTTACTTACTTAGGGATATATTCACCATCTATTGGTAGAAGTCATGGCGCATGGAAGGAATTACATAAACATTTCTAAAAGAAATCAACTGGTATGGAGGCTTTTAAGTTAAACCTGCCTGAATCTGGAGGCTACTTGGATAATGATTTTTCTTTTTAAAATTTTCTTCTGGATGTCTTTTAATAACCAAACAAAGACATCTGTCTACCTATTTACAAGATAATAATTTTCAGTAGACTTTTTTCTATTATCCAAGGCCTAGAATGGCAACTGGGTTAGCATAACCACACTACACAGTAATTCTTTCAAAATCAGAGAAGAGATTTCCAGATTCTGATTTTGCTTTCTAGTGTGCACAAATCTTAATCTTCATTCCAAGTTTCAATTTGAGTTTTGTATCAGCTTAATGCATAGACCATCTTGTGTGAAATGTGTTATGCCATATGAAGGAAATACATGCAGGCAGCAAGCTGCACTTCGAAGGGGAAAGACAGTATGAAATCTTAGCTTTGCCCCCCAAAAATGAATTGTTACGATATAGACTCAATAGTCAAGAATTAAAGTAAAATGTTTCAACATGAATGCCAACACTTTTAAATGGATTACCTTATTTTTATTGTGGGCTGCACATTTTTGTCAAGGGAATTTGATAATTATAAACTACAACAATAATGAGGTTTTGAATATTCATAAGCAATTAAAATGCCTCTGTGCATTTTAGCAGTGCCCTGTGGAAGTGTAACTCATTTTTAGAAATAACTGGGTTGTAATAATCAAATTCCCAAATATTCTGTTAAAAATAGACAAGGGGCTGAATTAGTTATGTTTTCATGTACTTGGACAACTCAAGGTTTTGATATGGTTACTATGTGGCATTTGGTGTCATTTTGACATATTGACAGAGTTTTATATTCTTAAAAGTCACAGGAAGACCCTGAGTAGAGAGGAATGTCCATTTTCAGTTGTGAAGACCTCCTCAAATCTGAGTGGTGTAGTAACAGGGGTATTCCTTTTGCATGCTAGAGAATAGACTGACAAGCTCTTTCCATATCAGCTGCTTCTTTGAAGATTGCAGGCACACAGCTGCATTTGTGCATGATGTAGATGTGCCACAACCAACAGAGTGGCAGGGTTGGGTGCTCCATTTCCAGTGTGGTCACAGAACCCCTCATTCATCATCCTCTTGAGATGATAAACAAGCCTCAAGAAGGTAGACTCATCAATGAAAGGGGACCAAGATCCCTGAGTCCTTGACCAAAGAAACCCCATTTAAATAAAACACTCACATTAAGTTGTCACAACTCTACAGTAAACATTCATTATGCTTCTGACATGTGAGGGTTTGTTTATTGCAGTAGTTCACTTCTGTTTTACACAAGGAGACTGGGGAAATGATTACCAAACTCAAATCCTCTTTTATTATCGATGCCTGAAATGAAGGATATACCTCAATCTATATTAATGATGAATTATTCTGTACTATAATATTTAATGGAGTTTGAGTTGATATGTTTAGAGGATTAATGTTATCTAATATAAATGTATATTCTTTTGTGTTGTAGCAAGAAAATCAGCATCCCTCAGTTGATATACTCTCCCAGTGAATACTTTCCCTGATATCTTTTTATTCATTCAATGCTTCCCATTTATGCTTTCTGAATGATTGTGCTGTTCTTCAAACTTATACGTGGGAACCTAATCTTTATGCAAAAGTATTTAGAGGTGGAGACTGGGGCCAGCGAGACAGCTTTGAGGATAAAGGTGCTTGCCCTTAAGCCTAATGACCAAAGTTTCAGCCCCAGGATCCACATGATGGAAGAAAAGAACTGATTCCTGTAAATTGCCCTCTGACTCCATCAGTGCACTGAGGCACATGCCCTCTATCACCTCAACCCCTGCCCCTACACATACAAAATATAAGTAAAGAGATATTGAGTCTCCAGGGTGTATTAGGTCATAAGCGCTCTGCTCAGGAGTGGGATTAGTGTCCTTCAAAAGATGCCTGAGGAAGTGTGTTTGCCTCTTCTGCCATGTGAGGAAATGCTAAAAAATAAATTCATGGCAACATAGAAACAGTGATATTTAGGGGAAAGATATACCTTACTTGGTAGAGTGCTTGCCTAGTATGTACTAAATCCTGGGTTCAATCACAGCACCATACAATTTAACTGTATGGTAGTGCACACCAGTAATTCAAGTTCAGTAAACCAGTAACTTGGTAATTCAGTTCAGAAGTTCAAGGTTATTTTTGGCTACATAGCAAGTTTGAAGCCAATGTAGGCTATGGGAGACACTGTTTCAGAACAAAAAGTTCTATATGAAATAAAGAAAAATTGAGCATCAGAGAATGAGTTTAAATGGTCATTGTGGCCATGTGAATAAGCTTCACATAACATCTGGTACTGCTGTCTGCCTGCTGTTTCAATACCTCCAGTGACCCTGTGTCCCAAATTACATGAGACAACCATAATGCCTACTCTGCCCATGCAATTGTAATATTGTTCTCCTCAGCTCTCAAGGATACCTCGGTCTGGATGATAGATTTTATTGTTGACTTATTTATAGCCCTGTTGTATAAAAGGGACAACATGGCTATCAGAGCCTGACGTCCTTCAATATTAGCATAAATCTCTTTGTTCAGATTCCAGACTTCACTAAGCAAGCAAACTTCTGATAATTTGGATTCTTTGTAGCAGGGCTACAAAGAGAAAGTACTAGCTGGACTCATATCAAAGGCAGGGCTGTTCTGTGCCCATGTGTCATTATCAATTAATGAGCTGACACCCTGGATGTATAAACTTCAAAATCCTTATGAGAGATGAATGTGAGACAGTTTCCCCAGTACTGATCAGTTTCAGGATTCTGAGAATATGGAGTTGAAGATTCTAATGAGATGTGGCACAGATGATTTAAGTTAAATGCTTGTGGGAAAAGCCGTGCATCAGGACCACTGGCCTCTGACAATTCATCTTGGGCACATTCCAGTCTTCATCATGTACAATTACATCTGGATGGACAATAAAAGATATGAGAGATCCCTAGAGCCAGGTTATCCAGAGGAGAAGAAGATTATGAAATAATCTTAAAAGCAGTGGTTGGATGAGTAATGAGAAAAATTAATTAAGGATGTTTTGTTTTGAGAGTGAAATGTCCTTCCTAGATTTACATATTTGAAAACTTAGCTCCCAAGGAGGCACACCATTCAGGAAGTTTATGGAACCCTCAGGAGTGAAGTGTCATTGAAAGAAATGGGTAGCTGAGGGTGGGCCTTGAATTTTATATCCTAGACTCACATCTGCTTTACTCTGCTTCCTTAGTATGTTGGGTGCAATGGTACCTATCAGTATCCTGCCCTTGCTGCTGTCTTTCTCTACCTGCTATCACGTCTTTCTCCCCGCTCTGGAACTATAAATGTTTGGTCATAGTATTTTATCATAGCAACAAAAAAAGATACTATGATAGATACATTATATTCCTCATCTGTTGCTCTTCCTTTGTTTACTAGGAATCCGATTAACAAGAATAGAGGAGAGATTAGTACACAATTAGTACTTTAATTTCACGTGTATCACTATGATCCACACAAAGGCAATCCCATTCTTTCTTAAGCCAAAGATTTACTTTAAATATTCATAATAAATGTTATTTTCTAAGCATCTATGGAATCATCAGTATTTCTATGAACACAACAAATACTTATTGAGTACAGCTATGAAGCACATGTTGTGCACCTTCAGCAAAAGCAGATGGCAGGAAAAGAAGGGTGTAGAAGATCAGACTAATGTATTCTTGGGTACCACAACCTGCAGAGGATGCCAAGGAGGAAAAGGAAAAATGAAAGTAATTACATGCTCCCGGTCAATAGGACTGGTATGGTTTGCATATGTTAAAGTCTAGAGTGCTGTCTTGGAAAGTTATGGAAACATTAGGAGTGTGGGTCTCACTGGAGCAAATAGTCACTGAGATTGAATCCCTGGCATTTTTTCCTTGGCTCCTTTGTTTTTTCTCCTTATTTCTAATCATACTCTACCATGAAGTGAATCTCTCTACTTTGCCACATGCTCATATCACCATAATGATTTTTGCTTAAGTGTATGAAGCCAAGAAACCATGGACTGCCTTGTTTGAAACCATGTGCCTAGATCGATTTTGCCTCCTGTGGGTTGTTTTAAGGAAACTTCAAACAGCGATACAAAAGTAACTATATAAGGATGCTATGGAAATGTTAATGTGCATGCAAGGACATTTATATACATGCAGGAGATGGTTGGAGACATTTATTAAGAAGAAAAGACTTTTGGTAAAATGAGATCAGTCAAAGAAAAAATATAGATGAGAAATCTTTTATAAATAAAACAGACAAATAATCAAAGATGTTAGGAACTTGTTGAATATTCTGAAAGTTCTATGAGCCACCATTAGAAATGACAAAGTCATCATAGGCCAGTTGAAGAGTGTAGATTGTCTCCTAATACAATGGGAAGCAGTTGAGAAACTCCTGCTGCACAGACCCATATCAGTGGTCTCAGAGCCTTCACACATCTTCTTTTGTTGGATTTGTTTTGGAGGTAAAAACAGAGGAATATGGTAGTCAGACAACCCATACCTACATCTAGTAATAAATTTGCTGAGAACTTTCATTGGTATTTATAAAGATTTTTATGCTTTTTAGAGGTAAAATCAAATAGCATCTTTGTTTTATGGTAAGAGAGATACAGTAATATTTGGGGTAAACATTTGACTACAAAGACGTTTCTTACAGGTGTTGCCTTTTCCTTCCCATGTGGCTGGATAGTTTGGATTGTTTCAATAATTTTTAGTCTCTTTCTTCTCCTTGGTTTTTGGACTATTTCATAATCAAACTATTAATGTAAGCATTATGCATCAGAATACTTAGGTAGAAGGGATGCTTCTTTTATTGTTTTATGTCTTTTGAATGTGAAACCCATCCTAAGATGTTTCCATTACTTAGTTGGTGGAAATTATAGGATCCATCACTGTAGTGGTCTTATGGGTGTTCCTCTTATGTGCTGGCTTTGGCTATTGTCATCCATCTAATGTGTACCTCCTATGTAGTCTGTTCTTTAAGCCATCACAATTCTGTGCTGGGAAGAGAATGCTCTTGGTAATATCACCTGTCCCTGATGTTTTTCTGTAGTGTTTAAATAATTATAAAAAGCCCTCCAAAATGAAAATGACCCCTCAAATTAAATTCAAGTGGAGTCCAGTCAGTATTCAAGAAAACTGATTTCCTTACAGTGTATGAAGAGGGGGGCCCAGAAAACTCAAAACCATGTCAAGTATTTCTATTAGTCACTATTCTCCACCATTTCAGTACTTTCTGGAGACAGGTGAAATTATCCTTACATTTTATGTATTAAAAGAAGGTCTCATGTAGCACAGGCTGGCCTTGAACCTTTGTATTCAAGGATTACTGTAATCTGAGATACTCCTGCCTCTCAATTGGAGGGATTTCAGACATGAACTACCATGCGCAGTTTATGTTCTAATAAACAATTGTTCTGCTATTGTTTTGTCTTCAGCACAGTGGCTGTGCCTTATTGCACTTCAATTTGAGCCAGCAATTGTGACTGCAGTTAATGGCCTGCTTCTCTAGCAGCAGCCCAGCCACTCAGGCTGCAGCCTGGTGGAGATTCTGTTCCCCGAGGCACTGGCTCTGCCACTGCCACTAAAGATAGCTTTAATTAAATCTCTACCATTTTATTTATAAATAAGATTTGAGATGAAAAGGCTGGGGTGAAAACCTGCTACTCAGAGAGGTTAAGTAGCATCTAGCTATCCTGATCTCCTTGCTGGCATCTCTGAAAGAGAGTGTCCTTCTACTCCAGCAAACAAACAAACAAACAAACAAACAAAACAAACAAAAGTGCCACTCCAAGGTCCTCCCTACTATTTCCAGTGGTCTCTCTCTCTCTTCCAGATGCCCTCTGATGGTCTATTATTAATTTTTGTCAACTATGCTAACTCAGTCATCTGACCCAAGGTTAATTTTATTTAATTAATATAAACAAAAACTCAGGGTCCATAATGTGATCTAATGTCCCCCAACATTCTGCCTCTGGAGCTACATTTTTACCCCCTCCCCATGATTTTTAAGACATGATGATGGAAGTGACACCCTTGACCCTCTAATAACTCAAAGCCTTAATTCAGTGAAGGGGGCAGAGTGCCCAGGATTTTGTTCACATATGTTTTATGAAATGCTGGCAGCTTTCTCTAGCACAGTATGACATTGTACACACTCTGACTGTCATTACAACTAGCATAAATGATGTTTTTATGGGAACTGAACCAATGAAATTTTCATGAAGACAAGTTAAAAGGAGACAAGTTTTGTAAGAAAATAAATCTACAAATGATGAATTCTCCAGCAGTCTTTCCCTGGGAATGATAGAAATGTAATGTCCCCATTGTACTTCAATAATTTAAAAATCTCTACCCTCACTTCCTTAACTAAAGCTCATCCTGGCAATTCAGTGACCCACTGTTAGAACACATTTCTGTGAAAGAGAATTTCCTCATGTGAAGAGAAGCTCACCAACCCCCAGAAGCATGACTAAAGAACACAAAGGCATGTCTATTAGAAAGGAGAATCTCTCAATCTCCCTTAAATAGGAAGAAAACAAACAAACAAACAAAAAAAAAACACGAGAAAGGGAAATTAGAAGGAAGAGGCCTTTACTCTACTTCCTCAATATAAAATCCTGCCATGTGGGGCTAGTGTTTCCATGGTTCACAGGCTAGATCAATATGCCAAAACAATAGGCAACTATAAGTTAATCATTCTTGGTCTCACTCTGAGAATTCAAAGATTAAAGAAAGAAATGTGAGCTGTTTGCAAGTCATAAGACCCCAAAACTGAGAACTAGATCTTAGCCTACAGTTTGTTCCATGTATTATTCTTTGAGCCTGAGTCATCCTTATGGAGTCATGACATATTCATACATGGGCAACATTTCACATTCTTCTTCTCAACAAAGGTGTTTTGTTTGTTTGTTTTGTTTTATCTTTTCAAATCACCCTCAAGGACAAAATACAGCACAGCAACTTACGTTTTTTGGTATATTCAGCTTAGGTTTTATATTTTAAAAATGACAAATGGTATTATCTGACAGTATGATTATGTTATTTGCTTAATCTCACAGTATATTGCTGCCCTCCTTGTAGAAATTGATAATAATAATAATGTTAATGTGAATGTGTGCTTAAGTCAGTAAGTAGGTTAATGCACAGAAAACCTCTATAAGGTGGTATGTTCCATAGTAAGTACCCCCAAAATATTAGCTCTTACTACCTGTGACAATTTCTGTAGTCATTGTACCAACTAAGGGTCATATAATCAATCATCTTATAACATCAATAACACCTGCTTAAGCTAACAGTGAAAGACAGCACAACTGAAGTCTGATTTTGTTATGCATGTTACTTACTTTGTAGTTAACTTTCCTTGGCTGTGACAAAATGGGAAAAAGAGGAAGAGGGCCTATAATTAAGGAGGGCAGTGGGAGAGCAATACAGAAAGAAAAGGAGAGAGGAGGGTAAAATAATACCAAAAATGCTGTGTAAAGCCTTGAAGGATCATATTATTTTATATTTATTTATAATCATATGCAATACATATGAACTTGTATTTTATACAAATCTTTGGAAGTCAAACCCCAATGGATACATCTAGAACAAAACTCCTGCACTTAATGCTTAGGTAACATCATGGAAGAGAGGGAAGAAAGATCGTAAGTGTCAGAGGACCAAGAAGTCTAGTCTGATGTGAGATTGAATGTACTAGAAATGATAAGGAAGTTACAGCCATGATGCTTCAACAACATGGTTTCCTTAAAAAAAAAAATGAGCAAGACAATATCAAGAGAGATGCTAACATAGAGGAGAGAAATCTCATGGGTCCCACCCTAAACAAAACAAAACAAAACAAAACAAAACAAAACAAAACAAAACAAAACAAAACAAAACAAAAAAACTATAAGCAACTGATGACTGCTGCAAGAGGGACAATTAACCTCTCCCAGAGAGGAACCTCTTAACAGGCTATCCAATCCAAAGTGATCAGTCCTGAGATCTTAAATCACACACACACACACACACACACACACACACACACACACACACACACACACACACACAAGTGGACTCACCAGGTTGTATTTAGATATTTGTGTGTGGTGTGTGTGTATCAACCATAATAAAAGTAAGCAAAGCCATCTATTTGAGAGGGAGTGAGGGAAACGTAGGAGGTATTGGAGGGAAGAGAGGGAAAGAGGAGTGATATAATTAGATTTTAATTGAAAGAAATAAAATGTCTTGGTTAAACACTGCTTGACAAAAACAGCTGACAGTAGTATTGGCTTATTCAGACTTTGGGTTATGTAGTTTATTCAATCATGAAAGGGGAGGCATAAAGTCATAGTAAATCATAGTAGGACAGGAAACAGAGAAAAGAAAATGCCTAAACTTGGATTCCTTTCTCTCCACCCAACTCCCTGCCTTCTATTTCATCTGGGATTTCAGCCCATGGAATGGTGCCACTCAGATCTGAAAACATCATCAAAGACACACCTAGTGGAGCCTTGAAGTTTCTTCTGTAATCTTCAAGCGTCCGACTGTTACAAAAGTGGGGAGTAGGAGAAAGGAAACATTGCTAGGAAGCAATGATCCATATTTTGATACTGCCAGTAACCAGCTGTTACTAAGCTTCCAGATAATCAGGTCTCGCTCTCCTTGCATGTAGAAAGAAGTGTGAATGGCTATGGATTTTAGCACCCTTGCTGCTCACGCTGTCCAGCATCCAAGAGAGATCACAGGCAGAAGATGCCCTTACTGGACAAACTCACTCCTGCAAGTATGCTTTTACCCATTTTATTTGTTTGTTTCTTTTACTTTGCTCTGAGGAGAAGAGGCCTGAATTAAGGAAAACTCACAGCAGATACTTAGTAACTCAACAGGGATTAATTTCTTTTACATATTATGATACACTTTTTACATGACACATTGTTACTTATTCCTTGATGGCCCAGCATGAGGTAGATGATTATAACTTCATTGCTGATGTTTGAAAGATTATGACTGATAAGGTAAGCCTTATGCTTTCATATTTCTTTTGTTTCTACTTCACTTTCCTTATAAATAATTCATAGAACAAAATTACTGTCCTAGAAAAATACAGTCTGTTTCATCAGCCCCTTCACACTTTATTGATTAGTGCATATAATTTTTAATATGTATCCATGGAATAGAGAAATGTAGCTTTTTCTTTTGTTTCATGGGACCTTAGAGGCATGTATTTCTGCCTAAATATTTATATTTATAAATGCTATTTTACAAAAACATTATTTCTATTTATTCTATTCATTTTACAAGTCTCTTGGATACTAAAGGTAACATTCATCCCCTGCTGTAAAAATCAAATCTAGCTATCACTTATCAGGTGCTTTTGAATGATCTAGTTTCTTATTCTTTTGTCTTTATCATATTATAAGGTTAATCTGAGTGGTTGGACCCTTGAGTCCACAGCAATCTCTAGCTGTGGTGCTCTTTTCCAGTGAAGACCATTCACAGGAATGCATCCACTGTTCCAGCTCTGGTTTCTCTGTTTCATTTTGTCTTCCCTAAGTAATTGATGTGTTCAAGGCTTTCAGTTGTCTATCTGTATTAGACTGAATGAAAAGTGTCTTTCAGAGGCTCATGTCTTAGAATACTCAGTCTCTGGTTGGTGGTGCTGTTTGGGGAGGTTTTTCTCCTTAAGAAGGTGCAGCCTTGCTGGTGGATGTATATCACTGGATGTGGGTTTTGAGGACTTATAACCTGCCCCACTTCCTACTTCTCTTGACTGCCTGTGTGTGATTGAGATATGATCACTTGACTTCCTGTTTCTGTCAACATGCCTTTTCTGCTGTTCTAGATGCTCTGGACATCTAAGCTAAATAAGTTCTTCTATAAGTTGCTTTTGGTCATGATATTTGATTGTAGCAACAAAAAATTAACTAATATGTCATCTTTCCATCATGACCTACTTGAAAGGAACTAGAGGCTAATATATTCCGTTTTGTATGTTCAAACAAAAGACTAGTTAGACATTTTTAACTAATACTTTTATTTTTTTGAATATTTCATGCAATATATTTTGATCATATTTATAATCCTCCCCGAAATCCACCAATCCTCCCTAACTCTATACCCACTCAGTATCATATTTTCTCTTATTCTTAACAAAGCAAAATAAAACATGGAGCCCGGTTTGTGTTACCTGTCTGCTCCTGAGCATGGAGTCTGCCCTGGAGTCTGGTTGTCACTGACAAAAACTGACTTTATCTATCTTAACCTATAATTTGCTAATAATGTCTCCTAGGCTAGGAGTAGGAATTTGTATCCACGTCCTCTCCTCCCTGGTGGGATTTTTCTGACGTAAGCTTGTGTAGACCTTGTGGGTGATGTCATAACCTCTGTCCGTTCATGTGTGCATCTGCCCTGCTGTGTCTAGACTTTCTCCTTCATTCTCTATATTATTGTAAGTGAAGACATAGTTCTGGTGTGGGAGCCAGCACCAAACAATGGTAAGCCAACCCAATACTGTCAATCAGTGGGCAGAATAACATCCCAGAGTAAGTCTCACATCATTGAAATATAAAATTAGAGAATATTTAAATGCAGTGAGAAAGTGAGTCAGCAGTTAGAATGAAGAAACTAAATGATTAAAGAAGATATGGGTTTGGCGTGTGATGAAGAGATTGCTTAGGAACTAATGGTACTTGCTGCCAAACATGATAACCTGAATTCAGTCTTCAGAACCTGCACTGTAGAACTGAGCTCCTCACGTTGTGCTCTGACCTCCAATGATGTGTCATACACACAGAAACACAAAATAAATGTGTGTGTGTGTGTGTGTGTGTGTGTGTGTGTGTGTGTGTGTGTGTGTGTTGTGTGTAACAAACCAAAATTCAGAGTTGTGGAGCCCAGTCCCAATGGATACATCTACAAAACACTTCCCCATTTGAAGCTCAGGGAACCTTGCAGAAGAGGAAGCAGAAAGATTGTAAGGACCAGAGGATCAGGGAGTTTGCTATGAGATGTTTGTCTCCCAATAATATTAAAGACTGCACCCATAAAGTCTCACCAACATGACTGCCCAGTTGTGAGCTGAACAAGGATGACAGCAATGGATATGACAAGAAACTAGACATCAACAAACCAAATAATCAAATTAAAAAAAATGAGGTACAGGTCTACATAAAGGATTCCCAACAGAAGAATCTCAAATGAGTAAGAAACACTTAAAGAATTGTTCAGCATCCTCAGCCATGGAGGAATGCAAATCAAAATGACTCTGAGTTTCCATCTTACACCTCAGAATGTCAAAGATCAAAAACACAAATGACAGCTCACACTGGAGAGGATGTGGAGCGAGGGGAAACTCCTCCATTACTGGGAGGAGTGCAAACTTGTAAAGCCACTTTTGAAATAAATATAGAGGTTTCTCAGAAAACTGAGAATCAATCTGCCTTGAGACCCATCTATACCACTCTTGGGCATATACCCAAAGGATGCTCAGTTATACTACATTTGCTCAACTATGTTCATAGTAGCTTTATTTGTAATATGTCTAGTTTCTTGAGTTCTTTATTTATTTTGGAAATCAGCCCTCTGTCAGATGGGGGTTTGGTGAAGACCTTTTCCCATTCTGTAGGCTGTCTTTGTGTCATATTGATGATGTCCTTTGCCTTACAGAAGCCTTTTAGTTTCATGAGGTCTCATTTATTAATTATTGATCTTAGTGACTGTGCTATTGTTATTCTATTTTGGAAGTTGTCTTCTGTGCCAATGCATTCAAGGCTCTTCCCTACTTTCTCTTCTGTCAGGCTCAGTGTATTTGGATTTATGTTGAGGTCCTTTATGCACTTGGACTTGAATCTTGTGCAGGGTGATATAGATCTATTTACATTCTTCTGTATGCTGCCATCCAGGTAGACCAGCACCATTTGTTGAAGATGCTTTCTTTTTTTCATTGTGTAATTTTGGCTTCTTTGTCAAAATTCAGGTATCCATGAGTCTTGTTCTTCAATTTGATTCCATTGATCAATCTGTTTGGTTTTATGCCAATACCATGTGTAGACAACACTCTTCAAGGTGCCACCATTGTCACCTCCTGGTAACATCACGCTAGATCCCTAACTGGGGGACAAAACAGTGGATAACTAGCAATTAGGAAGCACAAATGATTACATATTTTATGCATTAAATAGATCATTCTGTGTCATTTGGATTTTAATTTTTTCCCTGACAGGGCCTCACTATGTAGCCCTGTCTGACCTGAAACTCACTATATAAACCAGGATGGCCTCGAACTCACAGGGATCCACCTGCCCCTGCCTCCACAGGGCTAAGATAACAGATATGCACTACCATTCCCTACTTGTATTTTAAATATTAAAAATAGAGTAAGATTTTCCCAACTTTTGCATGAATTTGAAGACTCATTTTGAAAGACAGATAGCTTCAGTGTGGTGTTTCATTCCTATCCCTTTGGGAATCTGTTTTATATAGATGAAAAAAATTCCCCATTCTTTCATGGAATTCAAACAAGAGGATAATTTTCAGTTGGTTACAGAAGCACAAACAATTAAAACCAGATGGTAGTTAAACTAACCTTTGCCAATTTTTGGGGGGTGGTCTGGAGTAGATTCTCTTTGGAATGATTCTCAGCAGGCTTTTTTCCCCTTCATGTACCACCCCAGTAATGAGAAGACAAGAAAGTTCCATGCCAGTGGCTGGATGTCACACAAGTTTCAGCAACCCACTTATCATTTTGTTCAGTTTGTGGGACAAATGTCATCGGTTGTGACAGGATCTTGGGCTTCACAAGCATTGCTGACAGCCAAAACACTCCCAGCTCCCTTCACAGGATGTGGCCGTGATAGTGGCTTTATAATGATGGGGTTCAAGAACAACTAAATGTAACTGAAATAAATGGAAATTTACAATTTTTTCTTTTCTTTCTTTCTTTTTTGAATCCAATGCATTGTTGATATTGATTTTATATGGCCCTTTCCTCTCTCAACTAACCCGACTGTTGCAGCTTCATAACAGTATGTGGTCCATGCAGCTTTACTTTTGCTACACCTTACTTAACTGGAACTAGAAGAATCAGGTTTTAACAGTCTTGTCACCTTAGATACACAAAGTGGCCAGTGGGTTAGAGGCCCTAGCTAGCTATACCTAGAAGCTTCCTAAAGCAATTTAATCTGTTCCTCGATGTTCTAAATTAGAAATCATGCTTAACAGAATCCACAGGTGATTCTAATGTACTTTGTATTTTTAGAAATAATGAAACAGGGCAGGGGATGGAGGAGTCAGTTCCATTTATAAATCCTCAAGTCCACAGGAAATTTCAATAACTGTTATGGCTGCTCTTTACTTCTGAGCATTTAAATTGGGTATTCTGAGGTGGAACCCAGACATAGCATTTATAACAAATTTTTTATTACACAATCTTGTACCTTGGATGGAAAGCAACTTTACCCCCAGTGAAGGGCTTATTTGTTATATATGTGTTGCATCTCTATTCAGTTCAGGTAACTGCTGAGACAGATGTGATGATGATGAATAAGAAGTACAGAATTGTAACCTCATACAATGTGTTGCCTAATGAGGCCTATGTTATTAAAAAATGAAAACAATAAATAAACAAGAATCTGGAGAGATGGCTTAGCTGACAAGAATGAGTACTACTTTTGCTGATGATCCAAACTCAGTTCCCAGCATCCATGTTGTTGCGGGGGGTTGGGGGTCAGGACTTACAACTACCTGTAACTCTATCTCAAGGGAGTCTGATGACATCCACTGACCTCTGTGTGTTCTGCATTCATATGCACACACACAAGTGTGCATGCACACACATTTAAAATAAAAAATAAAATTTTGGAAAAAGTAAACAAATAATAAATGTGCAATAACTTCATAATACCAAACACTAAATAAACCTGGGAAACACTTAGGGCAAAGAAAGAAAGTCATTCCAATATAAGTAGACAAGACTAAGAAAGGGAGAAAGACCCTGACTTTAATTCTGAGGAAAAAGCATTCTGCTTGGGTGATGGAGTTAGTTTTCTGCCCAATGGCCTATGACCCTGTCATAATTAGGGTTTCTATTGCTGTGAAGAAACACCGTGACCACAGAAACTCTTAAAAAGGAAAACATTTATTTGGTGTGGCTTACAGTTCAGAGGTTTAGTCCATTTATCATCATGGCAGGACATAGTCGCATGTAGGCATACATGGTACTGGAGAAGGAGTTGAGAATCCTACATCTTGATTGGCAAGCAACAGGAAGTGACCTGAACTAGGTAGGCATAGCTTAAGCATAGGAGACCTCAAAGCCTGTTCCCACACATATCCTCCAACAAGGCCACACCTACTTTAGCAAACCACACCTCCTAATAGTGCCACTCCCGATGAGCTTATGGGAGCCAATTACATTCAAACTACCATATTGACCCAGAAAGTCCAATTCTGAATTTTTGTACTTTAGTGAGGCAACCTGCATTTAAAGTACTGAAGGGATTTTTGTCTGATTTATCTTTCAAATGATTCATTTTCTCTAAAATTCCTTAGCACAGCGGTAAGCATTATTTTCTAACTTGCATCCAGTTGTGTCACATGAACAAACTAACAGTATGTCCATCATTTCCTTCCTCTAGTCTCCTATCTTGGGCATCTGCCAGTACCATAGGTTGTTATAGCTACAGCTGTAGGCAATGAAGGCATTCCTCACCTGAACAGTAGGGATGTTCTTCAGAATGTCTAAGATCTGATGAGTTTTGAGTTTTGTAGCTATCCCCTAGTCAGAATTGAAGGATTAAGACACCATGTAAATTGTATTTATAGTTTGATTTGCATTGTATAAAAATTATTTTGTATGTATGGGGGTTTTGCCTGTATGTCTGTGCACCATATGAGGGTCTGGTACCTGCAGAGGCCATAAGAATGCATTTGTATCTCCTGGGGTTAGAGTTACAGATAATTGTGAGCTGCTACATGAGTGCAGGTATCAAACCCAGTCCTCTGAAAAAGCTGTGTTCTTAATTGATAATCCATCTCTCCAGCTCCTGATTTACCTACTTGAAGTTCCCACAAGACAGAGAGACAGGATTACTGTGGAATGGGGTTATAGATGAATGGATATGGAGAACCCAGTAGGAGTTACACACTAACAGGTGAAAATTGATTATATTCTGTCCTAGAGTAGACACAGGAGAATATAATGGACTTATGATATAGCCCTAAACTTGGGGGTGTTTATCCAAACAACAGATAGACAGAAAAAATTGTTGAAATAAATCCACCTCTGATACTAGTGGAATCTGGAGCAGAAATATGAATCCAAAATTCAGGAAAAACAAAACTCTTAGAATAGGTTTGGCTTCCTTGAAAGTCAAAGCAAGGAAGTACTCAATATATGTTAATTCTGCCTTTTTATTCCTAAGGAAGTATTGCCACATGTAACGAGCTTGTCCCCTTCTGAACCATTGCTTGAGTCAGTACTTCTAGGCTTTTCTTAGAAAAGGATATAAGGAGTAGAGAAAATCTAACTTCCTTCTCTGGCCCATGCAAGCACAGTATGTAAGAAGAGATGTGTAAGGTGAGGTTGGACAGATTTTGCAAAACTTCAGGGCCTTGTGAAGAGTTCTGTGGTCCACCATTGTATAATTCAGGGGCAGATGGGAACACCAGTGTTGCACATTATTGAGGCAGGACATGAAATTCAAAGGGACAAGCACCAGGAGTTTTTATTTCTGATGAAATCAGAACACCGTTTTCTAATTGTACTAAGCCTTACACAACCAACTGTAGCCCTGCCCTTCAGTGTCTCTGGTCTCCCTCAGCGGCTTTTGCTAGGACCAGGAGTCATTGCAAACATAATAAAGTAAGTGAATAAGGTGTGTCCCACATAGTATGGTAAGGTGTTTTTCTCCAGAATCTTCTGGATCTAATAAAAGTTTTAGATTTATCCTGAAGTCAGAAGGAAAGGATTGGTTCTCTCTCCCTGTGCCCCCTCCCCATTTCCCTCTTCCTCCCTCTTTATTATCAGTTCTCTCTTAGGTAATGACATTAAGAACTGAGTAAGCAATAGGTGCTGTGGGGGGTTAAAAAGTATACTTATCCACTGTTTCCATACCCACAACTCTAACCAACCACAGAACATTAAAAAAGTGTTTGAAAATTGGAACTGTAGTGAAAATATATAGACAGGTTTTAGGGAATATTCTCCAAATACTAGTATGACAATTATTTCCTGAGAAATGAGTTATGTTAGTTGTAAGTCATCGAGAGGCTGTTTAAAGACTATAAGGGCTGGCAACAAGGGTCACAGGTCAAAGGTTTTTTTCTGACAAACCTAATGACCTAAATCCTATTCTTGGAAACTATGATGGCAGAAGGAGGAAACTAACCCTTGAAAATTGTCTTCCAACTTTCAAATGTATGCTCTGGTGAGTGCACGTACATGCACACACACACACACACACACACACACACACACACACACACACACACATACACACACACACACACACACTACCAACACTTTAAGGATATAGGACAGATATAAAATATTTCAGTATCTACAGTTATGTAGAGGTCACTGTAGATATTCCAACAACAACTTTGAAGTTCTGCCTGTAATATTAGACCTTCTCCCAGTAGCCAGGAACTTTTCCTGCCCTCTTTTATATTCTGTCTATTTATCTACATCCATATAGGCAGCTTGTCTATATAGTGTTACTTTTAACCAATGAGCCATTTCTCCAGTCCCTGTCTTTCATTTGCTTTAATCCATGTGATCATGGCATGCCAGTTTCTATTTATTACCACTGAAAACACTGTGCTTACTGGAATGAATGATAAAATTGCATAATATAGATATATCTATCTTTGGTTCAATGTCAATATTCATACACACACACACACACACACACACACACACACACACACACATATATATATATATGTGCATACATAAAATAAAAATTATTCAACATTAATAAATAGTTATCAAGTAATGAGAAATACAAGAAGGAAGCTTAAATATGTTTCATGAGTGACTCAAGCTCAAAGGCTACATTTGGATTCTGACTTAGGACATTATGGAAAAGGCAAACATGAAGACAATAGAAAGGTGAGTGAGTGCCTGAAATTATGAACAAGGAAAGTATAGATGGAGCAGAGAATTTTTTTTTAAACAATGATTATTTAACTACTTTTATATACCAACTGCAGTCTCCCCTCCCTCCTCACCTCCCATTCCTTTCCCACTTCCTTCTGCCACCGCCCCCCAAGCCCCAATCCACTCTTCCTCTGTTTCTATTCCTAGAGAGGCAGGCCTCCCATGGGTATCAACAAAACATGGCATATCAAGTTGCAGTAAGACTAAGCACTTCCCCTTATATTAAGGCTGGGTAAGGCAAGCCAGTAGAACTAGATTCCCAAGAGCCAACCAAAGCCTTAGGGACAGCCCCGGCTCCCATTATTAGCAGTCCCACAAGTAAACCAAGGTACACAACTGTCACATATATACAGAGGGCATATGTCAGTCCCAAGCAGGCTCCCTCATTGTTGGTTTAGTCTCTGTGAACTTCTATGAGCCAAGTTAGTTGTTTCTGTGGGTTTTTTTGTGATGTCATTGACCCTTATGGCTTCTACAATCTTTCCTCCCTCTCTTCAGCAGGATTCCCAAGCTCAGCTTAATGTTTGGCTGTGGGTCTCTGCATCTGTTCTCATCAGTTATTGGATGAAGGCTCTCTGTTGACCATTAGAGTAGCCACCAATCTGACCATAGGAGGTGGTTAGTTCAGGCTACATATCCACTATTGCTAGTAGTCTTATCTGGGGTCATCCTTGTAGATTCCAGGGAGTTTCTCTTGTACTAGTTTTCTGCCTGACCCTGAAATGTGACCCCCTTTCCAGTCATCTCTTCCAGTACTCTCCTC